TTTTTTTTTTTTGAGAATGCCATAGTTTTATTAGTTTACATATCAGTTCTGAAAATTAAATTTTGGTGATCAAGTTGGTGGAAATTGTATGAAATTAAACCAACCATCAAAGCTTGTGTTGGAATGTATATATTTACTACTTTGTACTTTGACGATGATCTTGATGCACTATTTAAAGTACCATGCAAAGTCACAAACCACAAGCTACACCATAACCAAATTTGGAAAGAGAATGGAAGTGCAAATAAAGTTGCATGAATAACAAGTCCAAATTAACAACGTCACAACACAAAAACCTGTTGAACAACTTAAAAAAAAAAGACCAACATAGCATACTGGAATCACATGCGCTTAATTACAAGCGTACAGTAGAAGTAACATAAGTAATTAACCATTAATTAATTAAGGACTACTACATGCTTAATTATCATACCTTCTAAGTGAACACAGAAACACTAGAACAACATATACTAATATTATCGGATCATCATATCCATCTAAGCGGTGGAGGTGATGATGATATGAGATTGAGATCGCGACTATCTTATGCATCACGGACAATGAAGTAAGGACTATTCTTAACGACGATGTCGTACATGTGTTGGGTTTTGAATTTGGCAAAATCTTTAGGTAGAGAAATGAGGTCAATAGAACAGGGACATTGATGATATTGAATGAGATGGGGAGGTTTATGAGGATTATTGTAAATCACCCAACCCAGTTCATGAAGTCTTTGATCTAATTCTTCATAACAAGTGATGACTTGATTCTCTGGTAAATAAACCAGAACACGGCGACGAGCACCTGGTGCAGTTGCTGAACCAGACGTAGTTGGTTCTTTGGTCTCGAACGATTCCTTAGTTGGGTTGGTAATGAGACGAGCAACACCCTTGCCGTTGAAGACCCAAACACCTGACATTATAGGGAGGGAGAAAGAAAAACACTAGAGCTTTTTTGCTTTTTGTTTTGTGTTGTTTGGAAGCTATAGGTTGGTCTTTCTGTGCTCACTAGCTACTCAGATTGATTTGGATAGTTATACCCAGACTTGAAGTTACAAGAAAGTGAGTGATGGGAATGGTGCTATTTATAGGAATAGACTGTACTTCTACAGTAGAAGTACTTCCAAGTACTGATTACTGAAGTGCCCCTACAGAAAATTTAGTATAACTACTAAATTGCCCTTAATTGATATACTATTCTTACATGGTTCACTATTGGAAAGAAAATAAGGGCACCTGTGTCAATTTTGAATATAAACCAGGTAGATCTCATATGGCACCCTGCTGCCGATGGCTTACACCGGCGCATTCAGGTATGTCGCGTGGATGTTGATACAAACTCGCTTCAACACGTAGCTTAATTTCTTTAGACAATTGTTAATTTCTCCCCTGGCTGCGACGTGGGGAGCGACGCAAGACACATGTGAATATAACAATGGCGAAGTTATGATAATGAACAGAACTCATCCTTTTTACCTGAATAATTTACAAGTGTGGTAACGAGACGCATTGTTGGTAACTTGGTGGTGTGTATATCTTTTGATCTTTTTATGGATTCAGACTTTCTAATTTAGGTAGATTTAATTTACCCTTTAATTTATCACCATGTGTTATTGATTTTATTAAACTTGTTATTTCTGTGTTAAGCTTTGATATATATATGGTTAATTAGCTGATTAATTAATTTCGTCATTGCATGCATGTTATAAAGTAAAAAGTAAAAACTAGCCCAAGAAAGCATATCACTTGTTTCTGTATTCTGAAAATAGGTGTACCTTTTTTTACAGACTTACAGTTACTTGGTGTTGTGTCACTCCACTTAAAAAGGACTGACGCGGTGACGCCACCAGGGTCCAGGAGTTGACCGGCTACAATAGAAGACTGGCCGAAGAAGATATTAGTTTTCGGACACATAAGCAACTTTAACTTTTTTTAT